TTTTATTAATTTTTAATTGAACCCAATTAATTTTTTTTATTTTTTATAAAAAAAATTATTCAAACTTTAGCTCTCATTTAAAATTTTTTCTAGTGATTGAAAAATTACCAAAAAAATACACAACCTAGGCTAACTATTTACTAAGTTTTGGAAAAATTTTAATGCTGTAGCACCTCTCTGTAAGCAGATATAGGTGCAGGTTTTTTTTGTCTTGCACTGTAACCAATCAGTTGGCTACAAGCAAAATTAAATTTTATAAGAATATAATCAATAATCATAGCTATATATCAAAATCAAAATTTTACTAAATTAACTAATAAATATGGCTTAAGTAAAGCTGTCAGGATAATAAATTGTGTGTATGTTAAAATTTTTATATAAATTAAATATCTTTTTTATTAATTACTTTTGTATTTTACTTTTATATAAAAAAATTTTAAATTTTTGTATATAAATATAATATATGAAAGTAATAATAAAAAGGTATTTAATTTACATAAAAATTTTAACATATACAATTTATTATTCTGAACAACTTTACTTAGTAAACTTAAAATTTATATATAACTATAATTATCAATTAGAAAAGTAATAAAGTTCAATAGCTTTTTATATGAGTAATTCAACCATAAAATTTAACCTCTATATAAGAACAATTCTTTATAAACACAAAATTTTCTAAAGTGAAGAGTATGATTATAAAGAGATTTGACTATAATAAGCATTACTGTAAAATCTTGTTAATGATCAAGTGGCATCTGATTCTGCATTCTGCATTCTGTCTATATAGCATTATTGCTTAATTATTTTACCTGTTTCTATTTTTTTGTATTCTACCTCAATGATCCACTGCTGCTAAGATATTAAGATTGTATAATCTATCACTATATTCATAATATGAAATTGTATCAAAAAATTTGAAGGTGTTTAAAATTAAAATGACATTATCTATAGAATTAGGCAATTTTTTCCTAATAATTTCACATTATCTCAGCTTTATTACTGTCTAGCATCAGATATCTATACAAAATTGATACAACAACCAATAGTGTCTTCTGTACTATATAAAGGACCATATGCTTCATAATGACTATTTTTATCTAATTTAAATCCATTGTTACCATAATATCTCATTGAACCAGAACACCATCCTATGGTAGAAAAAATAAAGAAAGAATTATATAAATCTCTATAAATATAAGATTATATTTATATACAATATGCAATAATCTGTTAACCTGGCAAAATATTAAGGTTGTTTAAATTTTTAGTAAATCCAATTCTAATATAACTAATTTTGATTGAAATTATTTAAATAAATAAAATAATATAAAAAATAATGATATCATAAGCATACCCAGTTTTGCCTTTATCTATAATATCAACTTCAAAATAATATAACAAAATTTTAGGTGAAATAGAAAAATCAGTAGAAATTGATTCTGATTGATTATTACTATCACCAGGCCCTTTGTTAAACATAGTTATAAATATAAATTAAAAGAAGATATATATAAATCAAGAACAAGAACAAAAAACATTAGTAATTACCTATATATTTAATCATTAATTTATTATCCATACACTTAATATACTTTGACAAATATTCTTTGAAGCACATTAGTAGATATAATAGATGATTTGGATTTTGAAGTTTTTCTATAAATGCATCTTTAAGGTAGCTTGGAATAAAAGATTGTTTATCTATGCTCACTGTGTTAGATATTACATATATTTTTGGATAAAATATATATTTCGTTCTTGCTATATACATATAAATTATAGTGAATTATTAAAATAAACCTATAAATACTGCTTAATTTTGTAATTGGGGTATGCAAAGTCGTAGCTGAGGCACTGCTTATGCTCGAAGTTGTAAAAATATTGATTTTACCTGAAGTTCCAGTATTTCTCGGGGGCAATACGGTATTTGATATTATACAAGGAGGTAAAATAGTCAAAATAATAGCCTTATTTGGGGGACGTCTAAAGCGGAGGCAACTTATATTTAATAATTTTTTCGATTAATTTAGGGTTAGGGTCTT